ATAAATCACCTAACGGAGCTAGCCAAATCATAAAAATTCCAATCCGAACTCATATACATTTAAGTCAACTCTTGATCAAACCTTTCAAATTCAAAGCTTTTAACCGGAACTGTTCTTCCAAATTCATTCCAATTTTCCTGAAAACCAAAACCAATGATCTACATCAGTCATAATGCATTACACGGGGCAGGTCATGCCCGAGAATTGGCGATCAAAGTACAAAAGCTCAAAACGACTGGTCGGGTCATTACAATAAGAAATAATCTCAGCATAACTAATCTCAGCAATTCTAATACCACCATTAATAATACATCCTATTTGCCACTATTCTTATACTTCCTACCAAATAACCCCCAAAAAGTTTGGTAAAGCCTAATAAGCTAAAAAAAGAAAAAGAACAAAAAATATATATTCTAAGAACCATTTCATCTATCTATCCATACTATATTAAAAGCATGAAGGCCCTTAGTGAAATATCAGTCGCCTTTTTTATCCTTTTAAAATAGATTTCACATTGAATAAAATAGTCATTTAGTTATTTTTCTATTACTTAGGAATAGTTATTTAATTATTTTCTAATATTTAGAATTTTGAAATCAACTAAATTATACACTATATGAAATCCTTCCTTATTTCAACTATATAATATATGTATAAAAGAAAAATAATAGCAATCTATACGGATCAATTCTTTCTTAATATTTCCTTTTAGGTTTGGGATTCTTGTATATACTATGTCGAGGAAAAATATTCTTGTAAAGTGGTCTTCCCCATACGTGATTATTTAGAAATAGCTAAAAAGTTGAAATTAGTGTTTAAGTTGATATATACTATAAATTTATAGGAATCAGTATTTTGTTATGAGTATATATATTTATAAACTTAAGAAATTCTTTTTGTTTGTAACTCAAGTTAATCTCGACTTAATAGAAATATTCTACGCTATTGTTCTAATTTAACACGGATCTTCTAAATTTATAATTATAGAAGGAATCTTTCAAGTATCAACAACAATGAGATTAAAACTTTTTTCCAAAGTTTGAATCCTTTGAAAGAGTACCAAAAATGAATAATATCATTGATCCATAATATATTATAACTAATTAACTTTTAGTATAATATATTTTTTTTTACAAGAGCCAAACGTTTAATTTTATTCTAAGTGTCCTGCATAACCCAGACGAGATACTATGACCAAAAGAACGAGATGTTAGATGCTACTTTTTCCCTATTAATTAGGAATAGATTATCAAAAGTTCTTTTAAGAAATTAATTATAGCAACATTCACTTTTAATAGAATTTTTGTTTTCATCGAACAAGAATAATAAATAATGGCACAATCATATATAAGTACATGGATCAAGTATTCTAGAAGTTCCTTTATTAATTTTTTAATAAGAGAAAAAATAAATACAATAGTATTGGAGAAAAACGGGTAGAGTTTATGTTTTATTGATATATCTAAATAGGGTCGACATTTTTCACTATTCAAAAACTTACTTTATCATTAATTTCTATTTTATAATTTAAATATATCTTAATAATTTATGTATTTAAACGGGTAGAGTTTATGTTTTATTGATATATCCACTTGTTATAGCTATTATATCAAGTTATTATATTTCAATTCAAATATGTTAACCTTAAAATAGATGTCTTTGATCCTAGCTTCAATAAGAAAAAAAATGAAATGAAACCAACAGTCCATTTATTTAGCAAAGTTTTTACGTGAAACCAAAACATTAAATTCTTGTGGTTCATATATAAAACTCTACATACACCATGCACTTCGTTGTTCTTTAATAATAACTAGTATCCGTACCCGCACGATGCGCGGAGAATTATAAAATTAAAGAATAATAAGAAATATTACTTGAAATGGTAATGAAAAGTGATCAAAAATAATATGTTGTTTGTTAGTGAAAGTAACAACCTCTACTTCTTAAACCGTATTTGGAGCAAAAAAAAATAGCCACAATTTTTAAGACTCTACAATATATGTAACAAAATCACTGTCTCTGTTCAATTAGCTTGAATTTATTACATAAAATAAAATAAAATAATGAGCTTTACGAACAAAGCATTCTCGTCGAACTCCATCTTTCTCTGGAATATAAATCTAAGCAAATGCAAACTGAACCCACTTTTCACAACAAATTCCACGAAATTGTTTGCTTTCTCTCGCTAGAAACTTTATCTGACAAATGAATTCATGTAATGATCAAAGATCGAACATCAAAGATTAAACTTTGGATAAACTTGTATGATTTCTGTCTTCCACAACCAAAGTTGTTGTTTCTCGATGTATGACTTTACATTTCCTGAATTGTTAACTTGATGCGAAAAACTCAACAAAAATATTACAACAATGATGAAGACAGAATTTGGCAAAGAAGTACGGGCAATGTTACATTCACATACGTAAGATCATGCCTAAACTAACTGAAACGGTAATGTTTCTTTGCATTTAGAGTCGTACAAATTACAAATTTTAATCCATGTAGTTTAATCATTCCTAATACTTTATGAGTTTTAATGAGAATACTCCATTTTTAAAAATAACCCCATCTGCTAAGAATAAAGGCTAAACTGATATGAAAGAATTCTAGAAAAAAAAAATCTTCCTTTCACTATTTAAATCGAGGAAACAAACAAAAACTTAAGAAATTCTTTCTTGTGTTTTAAAGATTTTAAAGAAGGGAAAAGTTTTATGTATTACGTTGATAAAAACAAAGTATAATACAATAGTATTGAATTTATATAAAAAGATAGATCTTAGTAAATTGAATAACTTAGCCTAGTTATAGAGAATTAATTTTAGAAATGAAGAATCAGATCTTTTGGCCGAAAACATTCTTAAGCTGCCAAAATCTATGCAATATCCTTAAGTATCCATGTGGACAAAGGATATCCATAAATCTTATCAAAGTGAACAGATCTTTAATTGCACACTTTAAAAATCAAATAAAACCCACAATCATTGTGCATGATATCCCACTGTCATACTAAAGATATTAATTGTTTGATCCCTCAAATTTTGTTTATAAACTACATATATACATCAACCTATTTGTTATATACATCAACCTATTTGTTATATCAAGTTTTATTTCTTTAGATTGTAATGAGCCACTTGACAACATAATGTTAACTCAAATTGAAGCACTAACCTGGAGTAGTTTTTGAATGCTAAAATTCGTGTTTTGATGCTTCCTTCAGATTCATGTTCTTATAGCTCTGCCTTCTCAGCAATGTTCAAGAAGACTTCTTAGCATTGTAAGACATATGGATGTCCCATATGCCAAACTCCATTTAACTAATTTCTATCTCAGCAAAGAGCTTCTGATGCAGACGTGCACACATACACACACATGTAAACAGAATATCAGAAATGTTATAATATTAATACGTCTTCTGATTCTCCTTGTCGTGAGGAACAACAAATGCCAAGCATGACTTATCTTCCTCTTTTGGTGTGACATCTAAGTCAAGTCAAACAAAAAACTTAAGTTAGGAGCATGAGATTATTAATAGTAGAAAATATCAAGAAAAAATTCTTGGTAAAAGGACATGTCTGAAGAATTCTTTGACAATCTCAATAAATTTCCTGTCTATCATATTACTTGTGGAATTCACATCATCAAGACAGTAAAGTATGCCCTTTTACATAACTCCAATTTGATAAAATAAAATATTAACTTCCTCCATAGAATGTGTTGTCAAAATGATTGAGCGCACTTGCTTTATAGCGCCGATAACACTTGCAATGCTATGCCTATTAAAAGTGTCGAAGGCTTCTGTAACCTTAGATTCGCTATGATGTTTGACTTTAGAGTTGGCTACATAATTAAGTATGATATCGACGAAAATAGTTTAGTTTTTGTAGAGATTGAATTGTCACATGATAATGTTATTACTTATTAGTATCTCTTACTTTAATATGTAAAGTATACTGTCCTTGCATAATTTTGTCACGATAT